TATCAAGTATCAATGTATTGGTTGACGCAGGAGTATAGTTTCCATATGGAGACCAAGTTGATCACACTAGATTGATCACACTAGACAGTAGTCAGAATAGTAATGAGAAATAGAAAGAATGGCCAAGAAGTAAATAAGGTAGACCCTTCAGGGTCAGCAGTGGGCAGACACAGCTTAAATGTCCAGCGCCAAGACCTCATAGTAGCACACCACCATCTTCGCAATCGATGACAACGATCACCTCACTCAACCTTAACCGATTAGGAAGACCCTCAGACGACACGAACTCCGCTGTGCGATTAACGTTGCATCTAATCTAAGCTTAAAGGCTCCTTGGTCCATCGTGCGTGGAATCCTGTCCCCGCCATGCAACGGCAGTGTTTGTCGGCAGTTGGTGTTGTGTCTGCGACGGGGGCCAACACGGTACATATCCCGGGCTATAGAGAGAGAGAATACGAGTGGAAAAGCTTGGCACGACTATAGATTGGTCCGTGATTTCGACATTGGGGCCAAAGTGGTGGAATGAACGGCTTGATATTTGATCTTTGATATCCCCTGAATTGACCCCCTTGAAAATGAATATGAATATGAATATGAACATGAACATGAGTAATAACGTTGTCCAGTGAAAGCCACAATACCCCTGAAACTCCATGCAAATGACTGCTGTGTCAACCGATGCAGCCTGCAGTGTTGATAAGGCATCGAGGCCGATTTCAATGTCGATGCCGGGCACTGTCCACTTTCACTACTCCAATTTATCAAGATGCTCCAGTCGCGTAAGCACGACCTGTTTGCTTGTTTCTTCGATCTCGCCGGCGAGAAAGACTTCGTCCAGGATAGCGTAGACCTATCATCTGGAGTCAGCACCACAGCTCCATGCACACTCCACTTCGACCCTCGCATCTTCACACGCACCTTGTAGAAATTGAACACCAGATCCAGCTCGCAGACATTTCCGAAGAATTGATCTAGCACTTCGACGAAGAAATGAATAGCTTCCAGGTAGGCAAGTTCATTGTCATTGGCATCGACACAGACACAGAAGAACAACCCAGCGTACCGGCGGTAGACGACCTTTGTACTACGCCGGAACTCAACGAAATTCGACTGGTATTTCTGATCTCGGGGGGCGACAAGGCGATGAACCTGGGCGGTGGTAGGTGGTTAGCTAGAACGCCGGCGGTACTGCGGTGCGGATGATGGGTGATGCGGAACGAACCTCGCCTTTCAGCTTTACTTTCTCCTCATCCTATAGTAAATGTTAGCACAATCCTCTCTTTCTTGTTGGGTTCTGGTATCACTCACACTGTACGGGGCGTACCACTTCGCCAGGCGCGTTTTCCCCCTATACCATCATCAGCAATTCAATTGGAAATGACATCCGTGGGGCAGCCACTCACTGGCGATTTTGAACCAGGATAAATGAGAGGACCATTGTGAGGTAAAGCCAGGATGTTACCTGGTCTGCATTCGTGAAACCACTCGGGGGAGTGTTGCGACAAGCTTTGGTGATTTCTCCGCTGCTCCCGTTATCGAAGCTCCCCTCAAAACCCCATATTGCCACTCTTCACCGCCCGGGAGATTCAATCTTATAGAGAGGTGAATGAGTCGGGTCTCTGTTAGATTTGGGTAGGGGGGTTGTTTACTTGGATTGAGTGGTTCAAAGATATCAAATATAATAAGTGGCTAATGCAGTATTTCACAAGACAAGAGTATCAGACGTAAAGCGTAGACTTCGTTAAAGCTCCAATCCAGAGGCACAACCTTGGAAGGTAGACATGGGGATGGATGATGAGAAATGCTGTCGCAATGTTCCACCAAGTTCCTGCAGCGCATCCATTACCCCGAGCTCATCCGATTGAAGAACCTCGTCAACCGAGCCTATAGACAACGTTAGCACCCGACCAACACGAATGTCCAGACATAGACATGACATGACATAGACAGTATAAGCAATATCCAAAGATCCAAGAACATACCGTAACGCTCTGCGGGCTAGGAGGCTCAGTAGAACTCTCCCCACGTCCATCAACACTCCTCGCCCCATCCCCATCCTCCTCATAATCCTCACTATAATCCCCATCCTCAGACTCAGACTCAGGAAACCACCTCTCAGGATCCCCATTATAAACCAAATACCACCCAATCTTCTCACCAGGCGCAAGGCGATCCCTCAACGCCTCCAGCGCAGCAGTCTGATCTTCCGTCAAGCCAGATCCCTGCTCAACAACATCCTCAATATTCTGCCCGCCCTGCGCCGTAGCTCCATCTCCGCCGTCGGGAATAGTCAGCACCCGCGCACCGACATATGCATAGTCCTGACTGACCGTCCCGCTCGTCTCGTCCGCTGGATCGTACTGCTCGATGAATTGCAGCTCTGGTAGGCGGGGTAGGAGGTCTGGGTTTGTTTTGTTGAAGGAGTCCATGATTAGGGATGTGGTTAGGGGTTGTTGGATGTATTCGGCGGCTGCTTCTTCCAGATTGTGGAGGACGATGTACACGCGGATTCCGGTGAAGCCTGCGCGTGGCCAGCGGAAGCCGTGGAGCATGTATACTGGCATTGCTGGTTTCTCTTTTTTGGTTGGTTTCTTTTTTTTGGTTTTCTGGTTTTTTTGGAGGGTTTGCGCGTGGCAGGTGCCTAGGTAGAGTCGCGACTTAGAGAGTTGAGGTGTCGGTTCATATTGTGGAGGGCGGTGATCGTTGGGCTTCGTCGGGGTTTCCCGTTCCAGTTTGGCGTTTTGACACTTTGTACAAGGGGATATCTATCTCTCTTGTACGATTTATTATTAGCGTCTATGCAGCCTGTTACTTTTATCAGGTGGAGAATTGGTGCATATAGTCTGCAAGTTCCTCATTTCGGGTAGATCTTGCTTTGGGGTAATCGGAAAAGTATTGATCCAATCTATAACTATTGCTATAACTTGTATAACTTAGCAGGTTTGTACGTAGTTTGATGGCTACAATCTTTGCTTTACTTGACGAGGTGCTCTGTAATATGAGATCAGACCAGTTTACAAGTTAGCAACAGGCAGAAATTTGAACCGTCAATTCATGAATGTGATCTATCATGCGAGCAGAAACAAACTCAATCTAGATCACGAATATACCCTGAAGAAAGAGACGACAGACACACAACAGCCAGGCAAGGCTTGTATCAAGCCCACTATCCATGACTATTTGACAGATCCCAACTCAAGGCCGGCGCTTTAAATCCGCAAATCTCCGAGTCAATTCATCAAGCTCTGGTATCCCGTTGTTACTCTTCCCCCTGGTGGCAGCTTCACTGCCTTCTTTAGAGACCCCTTCATCTTTCCCTTCTGTACCAGGAACCTTGACTCGAGGATTGGGATTGTCGGTCCTGGGAGCCGGCGGCGCAACACTAACAGGACTCCGACCCGCAGCAAGTCCGCGCGGGGGCGTAGCTTTGGTCAATTCACTGGCCTCAGAAGCACGTCTTGTTTCAAGATTCGTCCTCGCGCCATCTTGCTTGCTGGGAGTTTGCGGTAATGCAGCTTCGTCACCGTCACCGCCACCACCCTGAATATCGTCCACAAATTCCGGCGGCGCATCCCCAAGCTCCTGCGTATTCATCTCTTCCTCCCCTCCAGCCCATTCAACCCCATATGCCTTTGCAATCTCCCGAAGATAAAGCTCAACAAGCTCCTGTCCAGGCGGACGGACACGCAATCCCTTGAGCAGCCGATCAGGCACCTTAACAGTATCAACCTTATTATCCTGCGCCAGAGTCATAAACTCCTTTCCATACCGCTCACCCAACATAGTGCGAAGCATAGTAAGCTCACGCAGCTCATGCGGGAAACGATGCCACGCGTAGAAAATCACAACAGCAGCCTCATCAAGCGCAGTATCCATATAAGGGTTCTCCTCTTCAAGAGCAAGAGCATCACCAGAGTCCTCCGCAGCCCCAGCCGCCGTAGCAGGCGTACCCGACCGCTCGGCCTCCTTCTGAGCACCACCGCCTAACCACCCAAACCCAAAGCGCGACCCAGAACTCTCACTCTTCCCAGCCTCGGTCGGCGCGGTGCCGGCGTGAGCCTGGGTGCGCTTCTTGAGCAATTCCTTCGCGCGGATGCGGGCGCGGTTGCCTTGTTCTGCGAAGGCTAGTTGGTCGAGGACATTCGCACGTGCTAGGAGGAGCTCGCAGTATAGTTCGACCATTTCCATTACCTCTACGGCGATGTCTGTTGCGATGACATTTTCGACGCGGATGCGCGCGGAAGCTTCGCGGCCTTCGCTGAGGAGTTGGGAGAGTTCGCGACGCTGGACGACTGACGAGGCGTTGTCTTTCTTTTGAAGTAGGCGGAGGCGGGGAATTAGGAGACGGAGTGTGGATACTAATCTGGTCTGTTCCATGTTAATTGTGTTTCTGGGTTGTGTTTGGAGTTGAGGACGAGGAGGACAAGACGCGGTGATGCGGGGTAGTCTGGAGCTTTAGGCAGCGAGGTTTGGAGATGTCATCGGGAGTATGGAGGGCAGATGCAAGACATAATGAGATATAGGACCCCTGGAGAGCTTACCGTTTGCGCTGAGGGAGGCATCTTGACGGTGGTGTGGTGTGTTGGAGAGAGAAGTCAAGCGGGGAGAGGAGAGTCTCCAAGGTTGGGGATACCCACTCTCTTTTATACCACAGCCAAGTAACGTTATATCTTGTTGACTGATTTCAAGCAATTCCGTGCATTCTGTTCGGATTTAATTTCGATTGTTTCATGAATTTTGCGTCTGCATCTGCATCTGCACTTGACTGGAATGACCAATTAAAGCCTCTTTTCGCTTTTACTACCCGGCTTGTCCTTGAAGCGTATATCATTAATTTCCCAAACGACCTAAGAAATGATCGAGATGTTTTACGAAGGACGTTGGCCTCAAACGCGCGGGTTTGGAGTATAAATTGCCCCACCAGCCCGCTCAGTCAGCAACCCGTTATCTCGAACCGCAACTCGTATACAACTTCACCTTCACTCCCATGTCACATCCAGATGGAGGTATGCGACCCATGCTGGACATGTCGCAACCGGCGCATCCAATGCGATCAGTCCGGCACACCATGCGCCAAGTGCGAGAAAGCCGGACTAGAATGCTTTGATAAACGACCATTCAGATGGGTCAAAGGCGTGGCAATCCGTGGCAAGATGCAAGGCCGTTCATACGAAGGCAAGACAGGAGATTCACCCTCTGCTGTGGATCCCGTACGGTCACCAGCCAAGAAACCTCGCGCTCTGGTCAAATCCATAGCCAGTGGCGGAACCCTACCTATTGCCTTACAAGACCCATCTACATCGCACTTAGATCAAGTTTCGAAGTATTACATAGATTACTGTGAGTGTATCATACAAAACACCGAGAAATTCAGGTATACTGATACAAACCCAGATAACGAACGCATATGCAAGCTATTCATCGTCTACGACAGCGACAAAAACCCACTCCGGAGCCTGATCCCATTCGGAATGAAAGAGCCAATCTTACAAAAGGCGATTCTCGCTCTCGCGGCGCGGCACCACGCCAACTCAGGTCAGTCATTTTATCAGCTTGAAGCGCCGACATCTCCTGGCCTCATCAATGCCAATCGGGACGCACTGCTTTTCAAGCATCAAGCTATGGAAGCTCTGTCCCGGGCTTTGGGCAATGCAAATTCAAATTCATCCAAGAAGGATACTACTGTTGCTAGTATATTTCTGCTTATCTTTCTGGATCTTCTGGAGTCTGGGAGTGATGGCTGGAATTTCCATCTCGAGGGCGCTAAGAGTTTGATTTCTTCTCAGCGGTTGCTGCTGGGGGATTCTGGTGTTAATAATGGACCTGGTCAGACGGTTCGGGAGATCCGGGGATTTATTGCTAAGCAAATACACCTGTGGGTTATCTTTTATACTTGACGTTCCCAGCTGGTCGAAGGGATGCGACTGACCAGGACACAGGATCGAGACTCTGGGAGCAACCTTCCTACGACCTAAGTTACTATCTGAATTCATTTTCGCCGACCAGGAAGAATCTTCATCCCAAGAAGCTATTGAGAAATCCTTCCTTGGATGTCCGGAATACCTATTGACAGCGATACAATTCCTCTCGAGCGAACGAGACACCATCGCGGGATCGAAGCTCGATCAAGCTGCCGTCCAAACACATATCCAAGATACAACAGCCATGCTATCCCTTATCCGGAACTTCGATTGTTACGCCTGGGCCTCGAGCCTACAACACTCCAGGCAATCATCCCCAAACGAAATAAGCAATCTCTGCTCCCTGTCGCAGGCATACAAGATCGGGGCTTTGATATATGGCAGACGAGTCCTGGATGCCCTCACAGAGGACGTGACCCTGCAAGATGATTTAATATCGGAGTTACTTGGTCTGATTGATGCGTTGAAAGAAGACGAGGCACTCTTCAAGTGTATTCTATGGGCTATTTTTGTTGCGGGTCTGGAGTGCCGCACTCACGCACAGAGGGATTTCCTTGTTGGGTGTTTGGAGAAGTTTTGGGTAGCGACTAGTTGTTTGAATGTGGTTAATGCTGCGAATATCTTGCGCGATTGGTGGCAGCAGGAGGATAAATTAGAGGTATCATCGCGGTGGATCTTTGATATTGGTCGTTTGGGTCGGGACTGGCTTCTAATATAACACGAAGATAGCATAATCAAGGCAAAAGCGACTTGAACGCCTGCAGCAAATCCTCCTTCAAGTCCTCCCAGTTCTCCAATCCAACACTAACCCTCAATAACTTCCGATCAACCTTCGAATCCGACAAAGCCCGCCACTCAATTAAAGACTCAACACCACCCAGACTAGTGGCATGATGAAAGAAGCAAAGCTTAGTCGGCAAAACCTTTGCAAACTCCTCCTTTTGCAAAACAACAGAAAATACAGGCCCAAACCCATTAGGCATCTGCCTTTGCAACCACTCCCCATCCTGCAAACTAGCATGATAAATTGTCTTCACAACAGACTGAACCACCTTCTCCTCACTACCAACAGCAGGAGACTCAGCCAGCATAGCACTGTGCATCCAAGAAATCAACTTTGCAGAATTCGCACTCGCCCTCTGCACACGAATTTCCAACGTCCTCAAACTCCTCGTCCCAAGCCAACTCTCCATACTCCCCATAACAGACCCAAGCGCAATCCGATCCTCAAACAACCGTTTCGCCCAATCACCCCGTTTCACAGCAAGAACCCCACAAAGCAAATCACTATGACCGCCGAAATACTTCGACCCGGAATGCATCACAACATCCGCGCCCCAAACGAACGGATCTTGCAAGCCAGGCGGGGCAAAGGTACTATCAACAACGAGGAACGCACCACGAGAATGCGCTTTCTTTGCATACTCTTCAATACTAAACGCCGTTCCGAGCGGGTTAACCGGCGTCTCGAGGAGGATGACGTCGCCGGCTTCTAGACTCTCGGCCGGGCAGTTGAGAGGTAGCTTCTGGAGTCCTGATAGACGCGATATCACGGAGATTACTTCATGGCTGCCGTGGTACCCGTCGCCGACGGAAACTCGGCGTGGGTTTAGGAGGGTTAGGGCTGCGTGTAGGGCTGCTAGACCTGTTGAGTAGCTTATTGCTTGGCCTCCTAAGAGGGATGACAGAATTGCCTCGAAACGGGTTGCATTTGGGGCGAATTCACGGGAATAGACGTAGTTTTTGCCGTTGAATTCGTCCTGTTGTGGTTGTTAATTGGGATTGACTGGTTGGTTGGTTAAGTTGTTCTTTGCTTGATACGTACCACTGGATCTTCGGAGGGAATGAATTGATTTGGGTCGTTGGGATACCTGAAGGTTGTGGACAGATGGATAGGAGGTGCGACATCAGTCACTAGATTCAGGGCATCATCTGCGTGTAATGCTTTGGTGGAAGGGTGGCTGTCATGGGTTGGTGCCATTTTGTCGGTGGTGTTGAGAGGTGCTGAGAGGTGTAGAAAAGTTTTGCTTGAGTGTTCGCTTTTATGTTCTTCTCGATGCTAGATACTCTCTCCACTCCCATCAAGTTCCTAAAAGGGCGTCCAATTAGACTCAGGATTCAGGTAGACTGTGATGCTGAATGGTGGCAAGTCGAGGCCCCACTCCCGTCAACTTCCGGAAACGGAAAGGTACGGGTATATAGCGAACTACATGCCACCTTCTTTTTCTATTCTGGCATTATCCTACAATCCAGTCATATGCTCTCAAAAACCGACTATGGGATTGCTAATCATCTCGTGCATATGCATGATCACTACTTTCTCCATATTACGTATTTCTACATCAAGTGAAAAAGACAAGATCTTCGAATTCAGAACATTTGAGTCATAGGCCATAAGTCCTTTCACGCCCCCAATTTACATGATTAACTCGAGGCACTCGAAGATGAGTAAAAGAGATGTGTAACATTGTGACAAACGTAGGGCGAAACAATGCATGAAACGGTATACTCGCTTCGAGGCTTCCGTGTAGAAGTTGTCCAATACTTAACCAGTAGTACTGTATACTCAATTATGATCCCTTTTGTAGTATTAGCACTCGATATGAAATGAAAGAGAAATTCATGGCTCCTTAGCAGTTCTCTAGGCAGACCTGTGTGTTTTCAATGTTAAGTTACTACCATCAGCTATCCACCAGCCAAACCAGGTTCATTTTTCGGTGCGATGATAAAAGTGCGTTGAGACGCTCTTGGAAGAGCTTGAAACATGATGGAGATGTGGATAGCTTATATATTGCCTGGTGAAGTTGAATCTATGTAGGGAAACTGGAGAAGGGAAAGGATATCAAACCTGGGCTGAATCAACCTTACCGGTTGGGGTGGGTGACTTGTCTCAGCCTTTGGGAGGGAGGAGTCCAGTAGTCTGGATGAAGGCGCTTGGGGTGATGTTAAGATTGATTGATTAGATCTTAAAGTGTTTGTGTTGTTTGCTACCCCGGATTTCCTATTTAGGCTGACGTGGTAATTTGGTGACGTTTTCCAAGTATTGGGAGGGAGGAATTTTAGTCGCTGACGTAAAAGCACGTCCTTGGTGGTTTGAAGACGCGTCGAGTAAACCTTAAGCCATTTAAACTATTTGACTTCTTTGCTACCCCGGATTTCCTATTTGGGGACGTGTTAATTTCGCGATGTTTTCCAATTATTAGGAGGGAGGAATTTTAGTCGCTGACGTAAAAACGCGTCGTTGTGGTCTGAAGACGCGTTGCGTAAACCTTAAGCCATCTTAAACTATTTGGCTTGTTTGTTCTTTGTTCCTAACCCTAGGCCCTACGAACTGCCTGTTTAGGCCGGCGTGGCTGGCATTGCATGATTGCCTCGGAGATCAGGCCGCCTTTGTTTGCTTGCCCTAGTCCATAGGGCCATCGAGTTTGCTGCTCTTCCATAGAGAAACTCTTCCATAGAGAAACTCTTCCATAGAGAATCATCATCCTCTTCTCCCTCTCTCCCCGTAGGAGTCCTCCGCCCATCAGTGGCTAATTTCATTAAATCCCAACTTGAGAGGGTGATAACTCAGCCAATGAGCCAATGTTAAGACACGCATATTACAAGATGTCTATCCAAGCCTTCCACATTGTTTATTACGCATTTTGGCTGAGGTTGCTTCTTCGCGTATGCCATTGCCCGCAGGATTTGGATCTTCAAGAACATTTCTACACATAAAATCATACCCACACCATATTTTATGTAAACAGGAGTTCTTGATTTGTATACTTGAGTTGGTAGATCCGCAAGTGTGCCAATATCAGCTCGGAGATACCGACTACCCTGTGGGTTGAGCCTCCCCACCCCAATGTCCATTTGACTGGTGGTAAATCTAAACTAGCCCGTGCTCCGGCAGTATGAATGAGCATTAGGTAACAAAGCATGCAACTGGATACGGATCCTACAGTAGGCCGAGGCATTCATACTAGCAACAGGTCTCCAGCGGGGTCCTCACGGTGCAATGGAGACAAGTACCAGTAAGCCAATACCATGAAGTCTCCAAGTAAGATGAGGCAGAACTAGTGCTAAGCAAACGAGCTGACAGGCACGGATCAATCCTAGATTTAGTGCTACCAACAAGAGTCCAAGACCCAGAGTGAAAATCACACGTCCAATGAGGAACAAAAGAACCCGAGCAGACCAATAACACACCAGTGTGTGGAACCCACCAGATCTGGCATTTAGGGACTAAGAGTGGTTTAGAAAGACGAAATCGAGACTTAGCAGTCACATCTGTATATTTAGAACATTTAGATCAACCCTAAGCGGCCGACCCACCTGTTAACTGCGCACCCCTATTGGCCTGCTCGGTTCATGACATCATCAGCGTGAGATTTTGGTGCCGCCATGCCTAATTGGGAATAAAGTCAACTGTATGGTTCATTTTAGTACTTCCGTTGCGTTTCACTATCTGTAGGTGTAGTTATAGCATGGGAAGAATTTAGCGGGTAGCTTCTTCCCCTGTTTGTCTATTTAGTTGATCGAGTTCGCACTTTTATATTCTGGTGTATACCATCACTGTCTTTACAAGCCAATTGCCTTCGCTACCACTTTGCACTGAACTATACCCAAGATAAGAAGAGGCCTCGATACTAAAGTCTTATTTTGCCCTGCGTATGTCTCGGTCAAGCCACCCTCCTTCTCTTCTGTTCTCTCTATGCAATGACTAACGCAACCCTGTCTCCCTACAGATCTATCTCATCAATCCAGCGACATGCCTTCAATCCCACCCACAATGGAAAGCACAAAAGCCACCACACTGGGCATAACCACAAACTTCCTAAAGCGAAGTTCCCTCAGCGACCCCTCCAAGTACCCCCTCTGGGTCTTCCTCATCATCGTCGGCTGCATCGTAGGTGGTCTCATCGGATTCAGCGTGTGGACTATGTACCACGGACTAGACGATAGCAATACGTTCAAGGATGTGTCCTTCGAGCAAAGGAAATACATGCGCGAGGCCCGGCAGCGGAATTTGAATGGGCTGGCTGTCGAGGCTAGGAGGCCTGATATGATTATTCCGATTGATCAGTTGAATTGGTAGATTGGGGTTCGGCTGGGGAAGGAGAGATGGAGCAATACTTTGGATAAATGTTTGCATTGGTTTGGGTGTTATGGTTGTATGAATTGTATACAAGATGGCTGGCTGGTAAGCTAGCTCTGGGAATTAACGTTATACCTGTATGTTGCTATGTCCGCAGTCATATGTAAATGTTTTTTTTTGTTTCCAATAAACTATCCCAAGGACAATATGCGATTGATTATTCAATTAAGAGGCAGCTGAATGCTGGCCTAAGTAGAAGAAAGGGTAGTCAGTGAAAGAGCGATGCATAATCTACAAGGATTCGGAATCCGAGAAGTCCTAGCAGTAAATACATCACAAGGTTTCACGAAACAAAAAGAACTTGTTTTTTTTAACTTATGATCAACAAACAAGATCCAACAACCTGGCCTGGATCGGCCATCCAATGTAAAGCAAAACCCCAATGCATACCAGAAGCAGAGAAAGGGATATCCAAGAAGAGTAGAAAGAGAATAACAGTGCTGGGGAGCCAAGGGATATATAAGTCATGAAGCGGAAAGTAAAAAAGGCCAACGTTGAGCGTCGTCAAGAAAGGGCATCCAAGGGATGTGAAGAACCGTAAAAGGGGGGATTATGTAGAAGAGAAATTAAAATGTGATGAGAAATGAACAAAATGCCGGTGTAGTGATCACGTTGATCACCGCAGTGGGCAAATAGTGCTGAATGGATGCCCTGGGGTGTTTTCAATACACACCCTCGTACACGTATTTGCAGTAATGTACAGTGAATACAGCTAAATCAGTCTCGACTGATTTAGAAGTTCACGGCCATGGCAGCGATAGCGCCAAAGGCCAGGGTCAGAATGGAGACGGCAGCGCTGGAGGCACCGCTGGTACCGGTGGACGAGGATGCGGCAGCAGCACCGGTAGTAGAGGAGGCCATGGAGATGTCGGCAGAACCAGTGAGAACGTGAGGCTGGTAGGTGTAGCTCAGAGAGGGGCTCGACTTGGGCAGGGCAGTGCTGGAGGCAGCGCTGGACATGGGGGTCATTGTGGAGCTAGCACTGACAGTCGAAGTGGAGCTAGGGGTGGGGGTGGAGGTTGGGGTTTCGGTCGACGAGGGAGTGGGAGTAGGGGTGGAGGTGGGAGTAGGAGTGCTGGTAGGAGTCACGGTCGAAGTGCTGGTGGTAGTCGGGGTGGGGGTAGGAGTAGAAGTGCTGGTGCTAGTGGGAGTAGCGGTGCTGGTGGAAACCGAGATGGTCTCGGACTCAGTGCTGCCGCTACCCTCCTTCTCGAAGACGACAATGTGGGCGGTCTCGCCCTTGGGGACGGTGACAACGCAGCCGGTAGCACCGCCAGCGCCAGTGAAGGGAGAACCGATCATCTCGTTGACGGAGTTGACAGCGGGGTCGATCTTGCAGGGCAGGCCATTGCAACCACCACCCTCGCATTCAATCTCGATTCCAAAGTCAGGCTTGACGTTGCGGAAGGGCGTAGTAGGCTCCAGGTAGATTGGGTTCCAGCCGATCTTCAAGTAGGTATTGCCTGTGGCATCGGTGTTGGCACCAGCGGTGTACGGGGACCAGTTACCGACGGGGTTCTCAGAGGTACCCCAGATACATCCCTCCTCGGCAGTGACACCAGGGGCGTTGATGTAGTAATGGGCAGCAGTAGAGCACCAGTAGGACATGCCGGGCACAGCCAGATCTTCGAGCTCGTCAACCAGGGTCGGGATAAGCATAGCCTCGTTTCCGGGCAGCACGGTCTGACAGAAAGACACGGGCTTGCCAGCCTTGTTATGAGCCTTCACAGGGCCCTTAGCATCCTCACAGTAATCACGCTCGGGGAAGGGCTTCTGGATCTCTCCGTTCTCGTCACAGTACAGACCACCGTTCTACAACCGGTTAGCCATGACTTCATTACTGAGGCAACGAATTAATACGTACCATCGACAGGGGGTAGGAGTAAGAGGTAGCCTTAGGATCCCACTGCATTGAAACCTGACCAGGAGGGCAGGCATAGGGGCAGTAGTTACCAGGCTTGCAGGGCTGGTCAGGGCTCATAGCCCAACCGGCATTCTGCTCGTTCGGGCTGACAGCAACCAGGCCGGCATCGGTGGGGAACTGGCACTTTCCGCTCTTCTTTTCCAGGGTAACATCACGAGAGTGGTGATGGCTGTGGCTATGACCATGTTTGGCAGCTTCAGCACTCGCAATGAGAGCGACGAGCGCGGCGGCGCGGGAAGATGTGATCTCGAACTTCATTGTGTCAGGGGAAAGACTGAATTTGGAAATCGGTCAAATAAAAGAGTGAATAAAGCGAATGGCTAAGTCAAACGAGTGACAAAAAAAGTACGGCCGACGGGCCAAGGGACAACAATGCTCGCAGAGATGAAGGTCAAGAGAAAGGAAAGTGTATGGGGGAGGAGCACCAAGAAAAGGGACACGGCATGTGCAAGCCTGGAAACGGACCCCAGCCGGCTACTCAGACGACCAAGGCCATGAGTGACGGTGCTAGCCTGAAAGAGAGATAGATCTGGAATGATACGCACGCAGTTCCGGTACAGTCAGAGTGCTAACTCTTGACTTTGGACGGAACAGACCCTGAGTGGCTATGGCGTTCGCGAACTTGCGGACCAAACCCATAATTGTCCATAATTGCTTGACCCAAACAGGAACCATGCGCGGGGCCTTGGACCCCCAAAGTGCTGTGCCCCTGAGCAAACCCCACTAGTGGGCAGCCACATGAAGCCACTAGGTAGTTAGCGTCAGGGGCAGCGCCCGACTTTAGCCAATGATGGGGCATAATACCCCGATGGTTCCTGCTTGGCAAGTAGTGAAAAGCCAATAAGCTTGCGGGAAATAGGACCCCATGGAGAGTTATCTCGCGAACTCTTTTAACGGGTGTTGTATGGAGTAGGAGAGGAGAGAAACGATGGGAGTTTGTTGACAAATGGTGTAAAATCACATGACACAGCAGCCCTGGTAACTTGGTTGCAATTGTGAACACAGTGAATTACAGTGACTTACCCCCTATAAACAAAAGAAATTACTTCACGGAGTATAAGATTCATAATCACGGGCAACTCCCGGTAGAGCAAACAAAAAGGAGTGACTCCACCCAACTAAATCGAGCAACTGTGTTACGAGGAAAGCAATAGCCCTAAATTTGTGCACAAAGCTGCTAAGCTGATAAACTGTCAATCCCAATCAAATCCACCATATTGGTCTGGTCTGGACCTGCTGATCATGATAGAATTCTGTCCCAGTCGTTGAACCCAGCCAATGACACTGCAACTACGGGGATCTTGGAGTCTTTCTTTCTCTGACAGGCGCGGGATCACGTGGCCAAGAGATTCGCCCGTCGGAAGATGATCTTCTAGGTGCCGATATGTTGATGTGGAAGTTACTATATGCTTGTTTCAGGCTTGGTCTAGAGAAGGCAGCATGGAGTCTAGGGTTTTTTCTGTATTTTGTGGTACCGGTGATAAGCATGCACACTGAACTAGATTGCCCAGACTTCATTGGTCGAACTTCTTGTGAGTGATCGAATGTGTTCTGGTGAATACATGAGGATTGGGTGACCTGGTCGCTTCTGTCAGTAATAAAGCAAGTAGGAATATAGCTCTATGCAAGGGCCGGTGTTAGTTCAACGATAGTTTAACTTTATATTTAGTGCTGTTTATCAGGTTTCAATACATATTTTATCTAGAAGATGAAGCACGCAAGACAGAAACTCGTTTGAAAATATTTGCATTTAGTATGAACATGACAAACGCTATGCAATGAAAATCTACTTTAAAGATGACCGCCCAAATGATCTCACAGCATTAACCAGAAAAGGAAGAATCGAACTCAAGGACTCAAGGATTATCAATCTATCGAGTTTCCACGGCCTTCTATGACTCTTCGCTAATAAATAAGTTATCAGCATAACTGAGCCTGGGGGCTTAGCAGGCAACTGAATACAAAAAAATGGGGGCGGAAAACGGGACAAGGCTACGAACGTCGTTCCAAGCGGAAGAATCTACGCTGCCTAATGCTATCAGCCTAACGCCAACACTGAGTTTTTGGAATACATATCGGACCATCTTTGTGATCTTCTGCGATCGGCCTCAGACTCGCCAAGCGGAGGCTTAAAGCCATGCCTCGCGTGTCCAAAACGTGTCAGAGTTGCGCAGATTCCAAGGTGCGATGTGTCCGCAATCCGAGTACAGCGGGTGCATGTAACCGGTAGGACGCAGAAATCCCATCCTCTGAAAATTTTTACTATGGCTTATGTCCTTATGTATCTATGCTAGATGTGTCCGCTTGGGCCGAGAGTGTCTTTATCGTCAAACAGGTCGTCGATTTAATGGCTTCCAGAAGGATCGGTGAGCAGCTTTCATATCATAATGGGAGATAGCCTCACATATTCACATATTCATACCACTTAGAAAGATCGAGGCTCTCGAGTCAAAGATAACAGAATTGATGGCCGACCGCTCTGCTCCATCAGTAGAAACTGAACAGGACTCAAGCACGCTCAGCGCAATAGTAACAGACGACGAAATTCCAGCCGAAGACATTATCAGGCGAGGCTTCCTAACAATAGAGACAGCTGAGACCTTACTGAACACATTCAAGACCAAAATGACCCCACACTTCCCATTCGTCGTGGTGGCCCCTTCAACATCTATCACACAACTCCACCAGGAAAAGCCATTTTTAAGCCTGGCAATCCTTGCATCAGCCGCGTACGATAACATGCCACTGCAAAGGGCGCTAGGGAAAGAGATCAAGAAATGTGTTGCGTCGCGCATGCTAATAAATGGCGAAGTCTCTTTTGAATTGCTGCAAGGGTTACTGGTCTTCCTCGCATGGTGAGTATCCACTTGACCTATCAGGGGTATAAGGTTTGTGTGGAAGATGTGTCTGACATTATATGACAGGTCGCACTATTACTCTCGGCCACACCGTTATACTCAGTTTCTCCAATTGGCTATTAGTCTCATCGTTGATCTTCGATTGGACCGTCCGCCACAGACCAGGGTGTGGAAGACAGGGTTGCGCTTTGGGCTGAGGTATAACTTGGATGAGCAATTCTTGGATCGCCCTTGTTGGGGGAGTGGTGGGCAGAGGGCTGTTTTGGGTTGCTATTATCTATCATCATCGTGAGAGTTAGGCTTATTGGTTTCTTGGGATTTGGCTAATGCTTTTTCCTACAGAATTGCGGTGCTTGTTCAGAAACATTCAACTTTTGCACATCTCCCATACCTGGAAGAGTGTTGCAACTCTCTTTCCCGGGCAAACGAGTACCAGTATGACAAATACATCAGTCATATTATTCGACTGCAATTCATCGCAGAAAAGATCGACTCTTTTGCAGCAAAGCATGGAATTGAGTTGGAACACCCTGGCTCAGGTTCAGAGCTTTATATCACCAATCTAAAATCAGAACTAGAGGGGTTCCATCATCAGCTGCCCTTTGATCTCAATGAAAGTCGTATGTTGAAACAAGCCATGTATACCGGAGACACGACACTAACCTAACAGCCCTGCTCGCTACACAATATCATGCGACCGGACTCAGCCTATATCAAGTGTCTCTAACCATCGCAAACCGACACCCTCAACCAAGATCTATGACGTTCTGCTCCTGGCGAGATGAATTAACCCTTGCGGCACAAATCTCAGCGAATGCGATTCTCACTAAATACATAGGTTTACCTCCAGGTGAGGAATATGGGTTTAACAATACGCAATGGGTACAGATGGCATTTGCTTTGCTAGTCTCATACCGACATACCGTGACCACTTCCAAGCCGGAGCAGAAGGCTGCACTTCTTCATACTCTATCACAAGTGCGGTCGAAGGTAGAGGCACTATCTACTCCACATGTAGACGTGAACGGTGCTCGAGATGTTTTCTTTGATTTTAGAAGACGGGTACTTCGGATTGAGAGTTGGCTTGTCAATCATGGCAAGGACGAAGCAAGCACTCTAAGTGATGAGGGCCTTGATATTTTTGAGGATTTCAATAGCAGGTCAAATCCTAAGGCTACTCAGTTCGAAGGCTCTATGGAAGAAGATATGGGAGACCTTGGTGTCCCTCTTGGGGACTTTTTCTCTCCTTTTGTGGATGATTGGCAGGGTTTTCAGAGTCATTTCTTTTCATCTTCTTTTGGGGGCATGGGTGATTGGGAGTAATGTGGATCAAATGTTCTATCGGGCTCATTCATCTCCGCTGGCTTGGACAATTGTGTCTGCAATCGAGTTCCGGACATTTAGCAGAACATAAAAACAAACACTAGAAACATCTTATCAAAGGCGGCAGTGCTAGGATTAATCTGACAGTTTTTAGTTGCAATTAATGTCCCCCACTGTTATCGCCGAGCCGACGTATACAGCGTGCCAAGACCATGTATATCCCCGACCCGATGTGGAACATAAAAGCGATATATGGACGAGAGAAAGGATATCTGAATCATAACAAACTCGCCATTACCAAAAATGGCCACCTCAATCCTCCGTGTTGTATCATTCTTGTTAATCATCTCATCAGTACTCTGTTTCACACCCTGTCCACTCCTCGGCCCAGCATTCCCCCCGTTTACCCTAAACACAACCGACAAAAGGATCACAGCAGCCCTAACGAAGCTCACCCAGGAGTTTGACACCTTAATCAATACCACAACAGGCTCACACGGGGACATTTCGCCAAATACAACATTCAGTATTACCCTATTCTCGTCCGACAATGGGAACGCCGAAGACGAGCCTTTCTTCTGGCAATATCACCACACATCACATGCACTGAGCCAGCCAACAGTTGGGTCTCAGACTGCAGATTACGATAGCATCTATCGTATTGGTGGTCTTACGGAGATATTCACTGTGTGGAGTCTTCTCCTTGCAGAAGATGGAGGTCGGATCGTGAATGATCCTGTTACGAAGTATCTCCCAGAACTGCTTGATGGTACAGGTAATCAAGATGCCATTGAGTATGTCCAATGGGAAGATGTTACTGTTGGCCAAATTGCTAGTCATATGTCAGGCATTGCTCGAGACTGTGAGTAAGGCTAATCGAAGAATTTTGTCAATAGTAACTCATTGATCGTACGCAGATTGCCCGAGTGATGTGGCTATACACACAAGCCCTCTAGATTTGGGATTTCCTCCGCATCAGGCCATTCACAAGCCTTGCTGTAGTGATGACACCAAGTGTAATAGCAGCGGTATGAATTCCGAATCCAAATCCACATCTATGTATATTGACTGATTCTGCAGACTTCATCCGATACATAGCCGATGAAACACCCGCGGCCCAAGCAGGGGTAACACCCAGCTATTCCAACTTGGCATTCCAACTGTTAGGCTACATAGTAGAAAGACAAACAGGAAAGCCATTCAGCGAGATCCTCCTGCAACAAATTCTAACACCACTCAACATGACGGAAACCACCATCTTCGCGCCCAGCAGTTCATCAAAAGGGATCATACCAGTAAGTAAAGAAGCCAGTAGCTGGTCAGCCCACCACACCAGCAACGAAGCGTAAGTCCAAACAATGCACCCACTCCACCTGAATACTAACAAAACTGAAAACAAAATAGATCCAAATCCCTCTTCAGCAGCCCAAGAGACCTATCAAAAGCCGGAAAAGCAATCCTATCATCAAGCCTCCTCCCAAACCCCCAGACAAACACCTGGCTAAAACCAGTTTCACACACCTCAAACCCAGCAAACTCCCTCGGCGCCCCGTGGATAATCTACAGCGCGGGAAACTACCCCAACACATCAATGGTAGATATCTACACCGTCCTCAGCAACGAAAGTCCCAGCGAAAGCCTTTACAGCTCTTACCTGGGTCTCGTGCCCAGTTTTGGGGTTGGGTTTACGATTTTATCGGCTGATACAGTAAAATCAGCTGATCTGAATGCTCACGCGGATCTTATTGGTGATGTTGTATTGGGGGCTTTGATGGGTGTTGCTGCTGAGCAGGCTTTGGGTAATTTCGGTGGTGTTTATGAGTATAAGGGGGCTAGTGTTGGTGCAGGGCTCAATTCTTCGATTGTGGTTGGGGTTGATGAATTGCCTGGATTGCATATCCGGGAGTTTATCAGTAATGGCACTGATTTCAGGGGGACTTTGGCTGGCATTCTGGGTGTTTCCCTTTCGGCTGATTTGAGTATCAGGTTGTATCCTGTGCAGCTGGTTGAAAGGTTTGGGTCTGGGTCGAGGATGGCGTTTAAGGCTGTCTTTCAGGATATGACTGAGTTGGCGGATGCTGAAACTCCTACTTGTGTGTCTTGGTTGGACTTGGATAAGTTGCGGTATGAGGGTAGGGGGTTGGATGAGTTTGTATTTGAGTTGGATTCCAAGGGGAGGGCTATTGGTGTTGAGATTCCTGCTTTGCAGGTCACACTCGAAATGAGGTAGTCTCGGGTTGTTCATTTGTATTGTCTGGGGGGTATATCAAAGTCTTTCATTATAAATATGAGCCATATCATCATCAAATATTCACAAGAAAATCGAGACTACTCGCGTTGCTGAGCCTCTAAATCCTTCCACCCAGCAAAAGCCGCAACATCCTCACGATCCCTCCAGCCCCAGGCAATACAATAGTGCCTCGCAAGAAGCTGCCACTCCTCCATCTCATCCAGCATCTCCAAGCCCGCAACCCTCTCCTTCTCCTCTTCACTAATCCACTGCTTCCAGATAAACTCAATATCAGCCGCTGCCTGACCGTTCCCAAAGCCCTGCTCTCGGAACCGGCCCCGCTGCGCCTCGAGCGATGCATATCGATGGAGCGTCTGGAGCTGGATACCGCGCGCCGCAAGATTTGAGACCATGACTTGGCCGAATGAATCATTCGGGCGAATAGGTTCATAGAGGATTAACCCCAGCGGTGACTGTGCTTGTGGATCCTCTGTGCCAAAGAGACGTTTCGTAAAGAAGGAAACTACCTCCTCTGCCTCGGTCGGTGACAGGTATATAAGACAGCACTCTGATATCAAGAGAGTCGGCAAACTGGTATCCACGCCAGGGAGTATTGCGCCGGGATCACTGCTACCAGCTAGCGATCGCAGATCAACAGGGTGGACATGATAGGCAGACGAATGAAGCGCATCCCCGGCCTCCGACACCGTCACCGAGCTATTAGTGTCCTTCTCCGAGTCAATTCCCAGCGTGCGCTGCATTATCGGCGCCGAGCGGATCGCGCGAATCTTCGCAGCCGTGTTGACCGCGAAATCAATCTCATGGTAGACAAAGTCCGGTACTTGTCGTGATGAAAGAAGACGGAAGACCCGCGTATCTGAGCCAGCACCTAACGAGATAATCTGTTTCTTGGGTGTCCGCACTTCTGGCGAGTATGGACCGAGAAAGCGAGCTACGAGCTGGTCGATAGCTGTCGTGCGAACGTAGGTTCCTATTGCGCGGTGAAGATATGCGGGTCAGTTATTCGTTCTGTGCTTGTAGCTGGGGGCGTCTCACCTCTGTTGATAATTGGGAGCCGCCGTGTCGCGGACCCTGGGGGGTCAATGCCGTTGCATATGCATCTTCTAGGTATCCCAGCTCGACAGCGCTGAGGCGGGACACGCTGGCGTCATTGTCGGTTCCTTGCACAACGCGGTCTTTGCCAGACGGGGCGGTTGAATCTGCGCGACCCGTGCCTCGATCGCGACCTCGGCCTCGTCGCAGTGTGTTCAGGTTGGGAATGTGGGATGCGGCCATGGGGGGTGGAGGAAGCTTGGAGCTTGGACTTGCATGGTGGGGTTTGGTATATGTCGACTGCCAACCGATGCGTACATCGTCTTTGTTGTATTTTTTTTAATTCATTTTGATATTCATAGTAACTTTAAAACACTTGATATTCAATGTTTTACGTGTGCAAGTGAATCTGCTAGCTACGCATGGGTGACATGTGGCACGTGCTATAGTGTATCTACGGATGAGCTGTTCAATGTAACGCCCTTATGAAATACAAAAGAGAGCGACTTTCAACAACCATCCGGCGGTCGTCTAGTTGGTTTATGGCGTCAGACTGTAATTGACCATTGTAATCTGAATGTCGCCGGTTCGACTCCGGCCCACCGGAATTTTTTGTTTTTTTGGCAGATTTTATATTTTATATTTATTGGGTACAGCAGCCACGTATAACGTACAATTTCTTGTTTTCAGTATGCTGAGCCTTGGTTTTTTTATATTCGTTCTCGAGCATGACCACGTTTGGACGTATCCGTGGACTGTGAGATATATATATATATGGGAGGTGAGGATGAAGTTCTTATACATCAGCTATAGCACGGAGATATAGCGACCCACCTATAGCAGAAATTATCGATTTTTTTCCTACATCCAAATCCAAAAGCCGGCAGATCTATCGCATATCAGGATAGTGCAACATTTAAATGCTCAATCGAAGCTGTTCGAGAATCCGACAGTAATGCATCCGCTAACAATCTATCGCTAGCACTATTTTATACATAAACAAAGTTATTCCGGCACAGAGGACAAGTACTCTGGTTACTGCTCTTGAACCAGCGGAACAAACAAACCGAGTGGAAAGTGTTCTTGCAGGTAGCACAACGCTTGTTGGGCGTTTGCATGTCCGTCGAGATAACCGAGTAACAGATAGCACATTCGCTCTGGCCCTTGAGGGCACCCTGGACGTTCCGTCGGAATGCCAGCAGGCCGTCGACCAGATTTCCGTTGGCGAACATGATCACACCCTGGATTGTCAGCAGCCAACTCTTCCACTTCTTCTCGTCGACGAGCACGCGGCTGCGACCGACGACCAGTGCAGGTTGGAGAGGGTATGCGGGAGGTAGGGAGATTGAGATGGCGACTGGAGGGGACTCTTCGTCGACGGGGATGGATGCGATGATTTCTCCTGTCTTCGCTGAGATTTTTACGTCTAACGCTCGCTCTTCATTTGGATCTTGGGTTGCGACCCAGTCGGTTACGCCCTCGAGGGCATCTTCGACGACGAGAGGGGAGATCTAGATATTGTTAGCTGCGCGATGTGTAGGCTAGTCGTCAAATCGAACTTACGTATTTCTCTGTCCACGACTCCACTGGGCCCTTGATGCGCTTCTTGGTGTCAATCCACCAATTCTTGGTCATGTTGGCCGAATATCTCAGGCACAGGTAGTACAAATGGACCAACAGCCATTGTGTTTCCTTCTCGGCGGAATCGGATTGATCTGGCTCGAAGGACCGAACGTCAAGTCTAGACGCATCAATCATCTTTCCGTGGGACTTCTGAAGGAAATCGAACGTGAACTCCAGTAGTGGAATAAGGACGTTGTTCTCCTTGATGTTAGCAGTGTAATACTCCTGGACAGGAAGCGACTATAAGTTGTTAGCAAGGTTCAGAGATGATTGTAAAAAGATGCAATACATACTGCGTTCGAGAAGTGGTCAAACACCACCTGCCAGGCCAGGAGGTATGAGCGTATTGTGGTCCACATTTTATCGTCTCCATAGCCAGAAGATATCATTTGCATCGTTGGTGGCTCAAGCAACAGAGACACTAGCTCATCAGGAAGACTGACAGCAGTCTTTGACAAGGCGACATCGAAAGATACTTGCTCCTGGCAATGGGGGATATAGCGATGGAGAATCGTGTAAGCAGTCCTCTGTACTGCTCGGCTGTGTGCAGTCATAAGATGGAAGGTCTCACTGACATCTTCCAGTTTATCGACTGGGATGGTAGTGATCAGGCGTCGCGATAACTCGACGGCAACGTCGCGAGGCTGGTGGAATGTGGTAGACGAGTCTATGGGATTAGAGAATACCAATAAACGGAGACGTTTTAGGATGCTTACCAAATTTGTCAATGGTAGACGCCACATCATTGAAAAGGTTGGTCTTTCGGTCTGACCAAGCGTCTTGGACATCGTCATTGCTGTCACCTTCCGAGATGGACTTCAATTTCGAGAACAGCCTGAATGATGATACGAGCAGCGGCAAAGACTCTTCACCTCCATTAGTTTCCCGGAACACAGCGCTCAGAATATCCATGCTTTCTTCCCAGTGAGACCCATAAATTTCACCCAAAGCCGGGAGAACAAAGGAAAGTGTTTTAATAATTTCAGCCTTCAGACCAAGAGGCATCGAGTCAGACCGGAGACACTCGATCAAGTGTTTGGTCAAGAAAACCAATCGCTGCGTGGGAATGGTGGAGATGACCTCTTCTTCCCCAGAAAGGAGGATATTGAGGAGTGCAAGCTTGCGCAGGCCTATAGGCGGTTAGTATATGTCTTGTTCTTGTCATGTTTCGCTCCCGTTAACTTACCATCCAGAGAAGCATCCTTGGGCTTGAGCCCAGTAGAATCCGCGACCAGTTCATTGCAAATCCGATTTCCAATGGGGTTTGAAAGGATAGGGCCTCGCAGCACGGCAAACCAGGATGCTGAACGGATAGCATTTGCTGTCCGAGCCTCCCTGCAAATCTTTGCAACATCATCTGACGATTTCGATGAATCAATAGCGGTCATGATTTTCACAAAGGTTTCGCCAATCCGATAGTCCGTGGGCGATGTGCCCTTGAGCTCTTCCAACCTGGTCTCCCAGAACTTAGTGAATAAGGAGGAAATCGTCAGATCCGGCACGGAGGCAACTGGTTCGTTCGCACGAATCCAACCGCCAATAACCTTTCTACCATTGCAGACGGTCTCCATGTATTCCTCGCGCTGATCAGCCAATTCGAGACCTGAGATACCATTGGAGTTTTCAATACTCAGATCATCATCAATTAGTTGAACAGCCAAGGGTAGGAACTGGAACAAAGTCTCCAGATCTTCCTGTTCCAGGTGCTTCACTACCTCGGAATTTGTTAAGATACTGATAGTGTAGGTTGCCAGACGGAAAGCAGAAGAGCAATGGTCCGAGTCACGAGGAACGGTAAGCCACAGGGCCTTGAAAGAGTCAGATAGCTCCCGCCCAACCAGATGAACGATACCCCCAAGAGGACTCGTGATAGCGACAGAAGAGCGAGGCGGGAGCTGAAGGAAAGGACTCAAAGCTTCCTCCCATGACCGGCGAGTGGGCAAAATATCCTTGACTGTGCCAGTTGCACCTTCGGCTGTAAGACCTGGCAGCAACTCGTCTGCTATAGCAAGAAGCGATTCGATTCTGAGTCAAATTAGTACGTACTCTGGTAAACTTTGAAGATCGGGACACTCACGATAATGATTCTTCGTTCACGTTACTGAAACCATGTTGAAGGATTTCAACGCCTGACTTGGCACTCGTATCGCCAACAGCAGTTGCCTTCAAGGACTTCAGCAATGAATCCGCTACGCTTGATACTTCCTCCTCGGGGGATTCTGCAAGGAAGAGCAACTTGCCCGCTAATTTCGACCCGTGAGGTCCAGCTTGGAACTCCCGGACCGATGACGGAGCAGTTTTTCCAATGTGCGAAAGCCCATGCAAGGCATCAAAGATTCCGTCGTCCGAGGACAAGGCGTCAATCAGAGACAAGAAGATTTGGTCCATCAATTCGCCGTGTGATGACTTGTTCTGGAGAACAGCGGTGATGATAGGCCAATGTGCATGGCTTCCTCGGCAAGCTTTATCAAGAGCCCGGACGACAAGCGAGTTGAGCTTTTCTTTGTGATCAACCTCGTTGAAGTTGAGAGAAGAGAGCAAACTTTGAAGCACATGCACGTTTGATTGTTCTGGCTCTAGAGCCAGCGCCTGTTCAACAATGTTCTCAAAACTGGACGCGTAACCATCCCATTCCCGACAGGCCAGAATGATCGCAATCAAGCGGTCTGCAGATGGTGAGACCAAAAACTCCGGCATATCATTTTGAACAAACCGAAGAAGATCTGGAGACTTCTTGGCTACAGATGGCATGCTGCGAACACACTCCTCTACAGCGGCTGCAGCCCCATACGGCTTTCCATTGCGGGTGCGCAGAACTTGCAGACAACCCTCGAGAAGAGATGAACTTGCTTTTTCAAAAATCTCCGAGATTTGAGGTTCGACTTCGGTTTCTGCGATTCGGGAAAGAGCGGCAGATTGTAGAGCCAATAGGCGTCTTGACTGGGCGCATATTGAGTCTTGTGAAGCGCGGAAATCCTTTGATTGTTCTGGCGATGATAACTTCACTGCTTCTAATAGACCGTCGGAAAGGGCTGCACACAATGATTGTAATGCCTGTTCCTGTCCTGTAGAAGCCAAGGTGCAGAGATAACTGACGCAAGTTCCTTCGGCCGATTGAGCAGGAAGAGACCACTGTGACAGTTCTGGGTTAACTTGCACATAGTGTACCACCAAGGGAGAAAGTCTCTTTTCAATGAATTCGGATCTTTGATCTTCGGGGATCAGGGTTGCAAGCCAAGTTCCGATCTGGATGTAAGATTTCCATCCGACAGCCAGATTTTGGCGTGGCTCTTCTCTCGAGTTAAGGCCTTCCTGCAAAGCCTCTGTCAGGGCAATTGCGCTGGTGGATGTAATTCCTTCATCAGCAGTTGCCTTGTCGGCACCTGCCAGTACCTCTTGAGGGATGATCCGAAGCAATTGATCTAGATTTGACCAGTAGTTACCATGCCCACCCTGGGATCCTTTCTGCATATACCGGAGCAATCTCTTCGAAGCAGATGATTTCCCGGTATAATCATCAGTCCACACCTGAGGCCTTGACGATGTCAACAGAAGAAGAGACTCTGACAATTCGGAGCTCGAACCAGTCTGCTGGAGAGACAACGACTTTCCAATGATAG